GCTATTTCATTGCCTATTATACCCGAGTGTCCAGGTATCCACATGATGACGATATTTTTACCCAGACTGGAAGCTAGGTTGAGGTTGTTCAGAATTTTGGATGCAATATCACCGGGATTGAAAAGGTTCTGCAGACTTCTTATAGTGCTCAATGAATCGCTGAGAATGATGAATTTCGAATGAGCTTCTTGTAATAAGTCCATAGATTGTTGGGAGTCTATTATGATTTATATATTATCCGCGTTTTTCTGTTGTCATTTTTTTATAGAAACAATTAATAATGTTTTTTTTAAATAAAAAAATCGTTATTTTATGTAAAATTATATGGTTTTCTTATTAAAATACACAGGTGTCCCGTTTTGAAGGAAAAAATTATGGTCACGTTACCCATAATATATCTTATGAAGTGATGAGTTAAAGATACAGAATAAAAGTAAACATTTAAAATACAATCTCATACCATAATTTTATATCATATTTTTAACTCATTACACTTCGATTTTCAACTTTAGTAGCTTTTTAATTGTGGAAATAAATCTAGTTAGTGCGTAGAGCGTAGTTAGAGTTCAACAGATTCCCAGTAGTTTTCAAAAGCAACGGGGAAAACGGAAATTTTTACTCAAATTTGGTTTTTGACAAAAATCGATTTTGAATATTGGTCCAATTCTAAAACAAATTACCTTAGATACCTGAAATGTACACCATATGTTTATTTTATTAATTCCTATACTTGACAAATTTTTCAAAATATTTCAACTATTTTTAAGTTATTTATAATGTCTACAGGAAAGTCTAGTTAAATTTTTATAACATTGCATAATATTCACTCTGACTCGATTTCTCTTGTTTCAAAATTCTTATTTCGTTGTTATTCAATTGGAGGGATTTTGTCGTTAACTTACGAAACCTATGAAATTTACATTTTTAATATCAAAAATATTTTTATATCTAGGGCTAGAATTTATATGCAATAAAAAATTGTAAAATATGCATTTTATTTACCAAAATATGCAAAAATATGCAAAAACAAWTTTTTATTATTATTTATTATAATTCATAATTTATTATTATTACTTATTAATAGCTCATATTATTACATTAAATATTAGTTTAATTATACGTAACTTGGCACTTTCACTTTGAACTTTCAGCATACTGGACACTGTTATTAAAACCATTCAAATTATTAAGTATAAACGTCCGCACATTTACGCAACACACGACGTACTAATACAATTATTCTGTACTGTCTGTATAACAATGTGTAAGTAATTCTACCAGTCGTCCGATCAACGATAAGGTAATGAATGGATATTATCCGAACTAAGATAAAATAGGTAGTATTTATGCTATCAATTTACGAAAATTTAACGGATAAACCAAAAACTGTCAGTTTCATGAAGTATCATTTAAAATTAACAATAACTAATCAAAATTAAAAAATGTTAGTTAAAAAATATCGAATTCTAAAAAAAAAATCTATGAATATGCAATTATATGCAATATGTCCAAAATATGCAAAAAAAAAAATGGTCCTATTTAAACGAGAATAAGCCAAATCATGGACATATCTGACAACCAATCAATTTGGACTTAAGGAAAAAAACATGCAAATGAATATAAATCCTAGCCTTATTATATCTCTTCTATAGTTCAGACTACTTTATACTTTGCTATTTTGTTATTATAGTTATTATTTGTTTGTATTATATTATTTTTTTATATCATTTGATTTACTTCGTTCTAATATATAATACCATTTGTAATGATTAAGAGTTACATATCTTTTCATAAGTGTTATTTTTGATGAAATTAATATGAAATTGTTTGTTATATAGTATATTACTAATAACATATTGGTACGAATTTGGAAATCCAATATATTTTAAATTTGCTAGTATTTCTAGTTTATTATTTCATAAGCGACAACTATTACATTTACGTTATAATACTGGATTTCCGCTTATAAAATAGTCTTCAAACAAACATTCATTGTAACCACGACGAATTTTGAAAAATCCTTTGTCACCCCAAGAAGTGCCCCATGAATTGGCAGCTAACCAATATTGAACGCCTCTGTTAACACCCCATCCAATGACCTTTACTGTAATCTGACCAAGAAGTTTACCAGTTACATGTTGATAAATTCCTGAAAATAAAAGATTTAAATTATTAGATGGATATTTGGATACATTAATTTTAATTTYATTTTATACCTGACTTGTATGTTAGGAAATCTTCATATACTCGCATTATAGCAGTTGCAGGCCCGTGTTTTTTCAATTCATTCCTAATCATTCCCGGACAGTTCCAATTAATTCGAATTCCTAATAAAAATATTTAAATATTTCCAGAAAAAATATTAGGTAGTTAAGATATTAATACATTTTTACTGTCCAATTTCAAAGAGTTTTCTAACAACCTACCTTTTGAAATGTCTTTTAAGAAGGGCTTTGAATAATGTGGATTGTAGCAATTTAAGTTGCATTTTGGTGTCCCTGCTTTGTATTTGCCACACATGTATAATGGACTTCTTTCATCCATAACCGTATGGTTACATGGTGGTATCAACCATGGTTGACAGCCCTATAACGGTGTATTTTTTTAAACTTAATTATTTAGATTTTTAAATTATGATCTATATTTTAATAGTAGCAGAGGTAATGAAAACATATTGGATTCCTTTAATAATGGTTAAATGAATGGAACTTTAAAATTTTTTAATTTTAAAAAAGGGAGAATAAGAAAACGTGTGATATATCATTTATTATTCCAATATCAAGTTGACACGATATGTGAAAATGATTGCTGAGTGAATGAGTGAAATAAATATATGCAATTATTGTTTTTCAAATTTATTTCGTGTCTTTAATATTGAAAATAGATTAAGAGAAATTCAAATTACTTCTTTGCTACCGTAATCGCCTCCTGTGACCAATCCTTTTTTCATCCAATATTGCCACGCGATTCCGGAATAGCCACCATTGCATCCGTCACCACAGTCATCACAACATGACAAAATTTTTTGTGGAGAATAAAACGCCGTTATATTTTTTTTCGACTTGATACATATGCGGTCGTTAATAGCCGAAGTGACGGAAATTGCCTGAAAAAATACATAATTCACCATACACAAKTTTTGATAACATATTTTTACGACATTTAATGATACCGTAATCAGATAAACCAAATACACACCCAGTCGGCAGCGCAGTTTCCTTGGTTCCATATGTGAGCAATAGAAGGACATTCAAACCACTTATTTCTGGCGTCGAATGTTTCCGGCATATCGTTTGATTCATCATCCGTAACGTAATTATTGTCCTTATGACCGATAATATCAATATCTTTATCATTTTTTTGAAAGCCCCAAGTTCCAACTATGTTTTTGTAATCAGACGTACTAAGATGGTTAATTCTAGCCTACACATAAAAATGCATATTAGATGATCCGCAAGCATGTTTAGTCCAGTCCATAGTCGTAGTCAGGGGAAGGGTTAAGAGGTTGTAACCCCCTCCYCCCATTGGCTGTGTTTATTTTTGCCATTATAATACTAATATTTCATATATTATATTAGAATACAAAATATTTCAATATTGCTAAAACATGTCACATGTCAGTAATCTTGATTATAACTCAAATCACAGAATAACCACAGAAGTGCCACTTCGCCAACATACAATGAATTTATGTTTTCTATAATATACTTTCTTATATTTTTACGATAATTTGATTAGTTATTCACACGACCGTGATAAAAAAGATTTGTAGTATGGTACATTAGTTACWTGGGCCTATAACTTACACAGTTATACCAATGAGTAACATGTCCTTATTTAATATGAAGTACCTAATGTTTATGAGCTTACTGTTAAAAAGATGCCATCGCACTATCTGTATTTTTTCTCTGGTCCTCACGCCACATAGACAAATTTATTTACGCAGAATCATTTATTTTATGTTTTGAGTAATCTTAGGGTAAAATTGCTTATAATGAAAGCGATAGAGAATAATATTTTTGAGTGTATAGAATATCGATTTGTCAAAATATTGTAGAAAAGCAATTAAAACATAATTTAAATTTACGAAATTTTTAATTTTTAAAGTCGAATACAAAGTCAAACAACGAAAAAAACAACAAAAAAACTCACGAAAATATAATTATTTATAATTTTTGTAATACTTGATTTTACTCTAAAAATCATAGAATATAAGAAATCGTTTTATCAATGTTATGCATTGATCTGAGAGAAAACAATTATTGCGCTGAAATCCTTTTAATAATTTTTTAAATAATAATTGATATCAAAGATATTATTTACTGATATTTTTTCTCAAAACGCCCCCCCTACCCCCCAAAAAGGATGCAGATGGAAGAATGGTCACAAAAAAAATTTTTTTTTAAATGTCTGAGTAATTTGTTGCATGATCTATCAAAAACATGATTTTACAATAATTATAAATAAATGAAGTATTTAATAGAAATTTCCTTCCTCCAAAAAAAAAATCTGGTTACGATATAAATCATTTCAATATAAATTTTACCAAAATCAATTAATACCATATTATATAATAAAATAAATATATAATAGAATATCATATATCATATATGTACAACAGTTATGTATTAAATAAATATTTTGTCATACTTAAGTTAGTTAGGTAAACGTTAGAAATGTTAAGAATTTATAAACTGTAAATTAAAAATTATCATTAATATTTCTAATTATAAAATATTTTGGATAAAGTAAGTCAGTTGAATCAGTTCTGCAGGTTTCGTGATAATTTTTTTTTTATTATGATTTATGATTAATAAGTTCGATTTTTTTTAAATAGCTGAGTCATATAATTTAAGACACAAAGTTAACGATTATCCAAGTTTATTAAAATAAACTTATTTGTAGTATTCTTATCTCCCTCAGAATAATATATGCAGTTTGTGATAAAAAATATATGATATGGTCAATAACTTAGGTATATAAGAATATTATGATAGTTATAAATAGTTCTTAATAGTTTTCTCTTATTTATTTTAATTTATAAAAAAATATAGTATTGAACTTACTTCCCATGGTACGTTAGCACGGTTTACGTGTTCAACGATGTGTTGTAGTTTCAACTTTGCATTACACGACAGCCAAATACTACAAAATAATAGTAACAATAAAATCTTATTATTTCTTAACATGATGATTGAATTCGGTAATTTTGTAAATGAATACTAAAAAAAACAATTCATATTGATATTTATTGTATTATGATGACTGATATTGTAATCTTTTAATATAAACACTTAATTTTAAGTGTTATGTACGTTTTAAATCAGATTTATGTATTTAATTACTTAGGTAATTACCAAATCAATGAAATTATTGGCATTGTGTACTTAAAATATAGGTATTGTTTAAGAGTAAATTGTATATTGTCATATTGTGTAAATAGATTAAATACTTTTTTTATAATATATAGATAAATCTATTTAGATAAAGATATACTAACCTACAAGGTTGGTAGAATATTTCATCATGATAATTTTATGTAAGAGCTTCCTATACTTTTGACATTGTTTTAACATTATGTTTTACTCGTCGTTGAGTAGACCACTATAATAAATGTGTTAAATTTGAACATAATAATAAATAATTAGTGTACTATTGAAAAAGAGTCTAGAAGAGAGATATTTTTTTTGTTTTTTGGAATATTTTAAATTTAAATTTAAATTATTAACTTAATAGGTCGAACTAATTTTTACCAAAACAAAAACAAATATTATGTATTAAGTAATAAATGCTATAAAAAAAGTATCAAATAATAATTACTTCTATTGCTCAGTATTATAAGTCGATTCCGACGTACCGCTAGCACAGTGTGAATATGATTCTGGTATAAATAATTTAAAACGAATCTAAATATTTTTAAATATGTATTATGTAATGTATAACTACATTTAAATTAAATTATCATATTAGCAAAAAATTTCAAGTAGGTGCATAATATTATATTTAAATAGTAATAAAATATTTAAAAAAAATAGTTTTAGTTTATGTCGGTATCTACCCAATTTTGTCAAAATTTGATTTTGAAATAGAAATTTTACGCTCTAAAAGGTCATTTGTCTGATGACAAAAAAAAAAAAAACAATCAAAAAATGAAACACATCAATTCACTCTGCTCAGAATCTAATACATTTAAAACATCGTTAATTTTTGTCAATTATACTAATAAATATCTAGACGCTGT